GCTTAATCAGAGATTTTATATCTGGATTTTAGCGTGGACATTGCGTGAGGATGTTCGGCTAGCCTGTGTACAGACGCTAGGGCTATTTTTTGAGCTACATGTGCCCGTCATGACTCATAGAATTAGGCAAAAGTAAGGCTATTGTAGTTTCTTGCTGAAGAGAAGTGAACGATCGTTTACATGAAACATACTTAAAATCATCGAATGGATCAACTCCTGCATAAAACGCTTGACTGGAAATGTAAACAGTGCTTCCGAGATCAAAATTCTGTCAAACCAAAAACCACAGGAAATCTATATACAGTAACAGACAGACTTTATGAGCTAAAAAAAATTTAAAACAAAAACTTCAAAAGCATGAAATACTCGTTTTAAATGACATTTTAGCTAGATATTCTAGTTAGAGCCTAGCTTAGCAATAAATGTTGAGAACATCCGAGAGAATAACTGCTTAAGTTCTCTAAAAAAAAGTCCCCAGTCGTGTTGGTCTGTCAACACCTTTTCAACTGTCAGATGAAACAACAACAAAAAATAATTTATGCAAATATAAACCGGAACACGATTAAAGACGGCGATTTTATTTCACAGACGTCTCTTCTTCCGATTTTTTCTGAGGGAGGGGGGACGTCTGTACACAGGCTACATTTGTCATTGTATTGACTGTTCTGGTACTGCAATCTTCTTGTCGAAGATAAAGTGCGATAAAGTCAATAAAATTGTTGTTGTAGTGATAAGTGTATCCCGGGTAGGGATACAATAAACACTGATGCTAAGTATCCGGTCTCATCTGCGACACAAGAATAATAGAAATGGCGGCTTAAGAGGCAACAAATGATTGTTTTGTTTTCAGTTAGATTCTTAGACACTGTACTCGTCACTTTGTCAAGGAGTCTAAGAGAAAATTTCGCAAATTGACTCGGTTCTCGCTTACCTTCAGGGATGTTAATTTGAAACAAATGGTACGCGAAAACGCGGGGGGGGGGGGGGGGGGAACCCGACCCCCTCACACCCGCAAAAAAAAATGTTTACCCCCCCATTTTTATTTTTTTCCTTTTTATTCTTCGTCAAAAAATTTACTACCACCATTTTTTTTAAAACACCACAAAAAAAATATAACAGAGGTGGGAAGAGCGGGGGGGGGGGGGGGGGGGGGATACCGACATCTCTGAACCAGCGCAAAGATATGTGTATCCCTTCCAATTTTGACTTTTCGCGTTATATCTTGCTGAATGAAATTACGTCAGCCATTCTTATTTAACACGACCAGTAAAATATTTTATGACGTTGGATAAGGAGAAGAAAGAGAAGGAATATTTACATCAACATTGCAGCCCACGAAGAATTAAGCTTTGTCTCGGATCGTTTCCCTTTTGTCGATATGTTGCTCATAATCTTGAATTATTTGTACATGGGCTCCCAACGAGAATATAGTTCAAAAACACTTAAACATAGCATTGTTAAACGTATTTTAGTACTTATAAGTAGATATAGGCATATTTTTATACCCTGAAAATTTTTCATCTGTTCGGATTTCCTAGCTGAAAGTCTAGTGATCCGAAAATTATAGGGAACAAAACTTACCTTTTCGAAACTTTCAGACAGAAAAAAAGCTCCCGAAAATTCTAGGTGACCTTTTAAGGGTAAAAATCCGCTAAGAATGGGCAATTTCACCATGTTTTCATAACGAGCCGCACCGTCCTAGCAACCAAAAAAATCTTAGGTATCTAGCTGAGATAGGGCTGGATACTCAGAAGCTTGTGACTTATATCTCTGATCATATTTCGTATCTAATACGATAGAGGCGTCAATTTTCACGTCATCATGTCATCATTCTATGGTGAGAAATTTAATTAAAAGCGCGGCATTCAACAAATGTACGGCTCTGGTTTCGGCTAAAAAGTGCTGTCTAAGAAGAAACATATTATTAAAGTCTGCGTATTAAGTCGATCACATCGCTAACACAGACAAAAACGCTTAAATATCTACTACAAACTTAACGGCCTGAGTTTGTTTCGGATGTTTACCGGTTTCTGGGTAATCGGGTCCGATTTTTTTCAATCGGACCCGAATATCAACTCGGATCCGAGTAGGGTGCCTGTAGTGCCTAAAAGTCACCCTCAGTCTGAGAGCGGGATTTCCTACTGACGTCAGCATTTTGGTAACCGGATTGGGACGGTTTTGAGCGTAGCCTGCGAAAACATCCGTTTCTCCTCGCTCTTCGCCGCTTGGGACGTTTCGTGCGGAGGAACGTCTGCCACTCAGGGGCAGAAATTCCATACTGATGACGCAAATTAATGTTTAGATAATAAATCCGGTAGTCATGGGGTTCCAAATATAAATTTGTCCAATTTCACGTGTCTCCTGGTCGATTTTGATAAAGTGTTATGATAAAGTGTTATGCAAAACTCAAATGCTTCTTCTAGCGAACACTATATTCCACAAATATTGACTGTTTTATTAGAGATCATTCGCGTTTACATTTGATCTTTGTGGCCTTTTGTCATTTGTCTGTCATTCGTAAACAATAGCTAAACAGAAAACGGTATTATTGCACAGACTTATCTGGGAATGCTTAAATGGCCTTATTCCAGAAGGGATGGTGATCGACCACTGCAACGATAACAAAATCGTATGGTACTTTGCGAAACGAAACGAAACGAAACGAAACGAAACGAAACGAAACGGTACTTTGCGAAACGGTTACACAAGCGCCAATGCGCCTAAATTTTTCGCGCAAATCGATAACAGATAGTGTTATCTACAATTAGTATCACAGCAAGAGAACTGTTTAAAGGGTGTCAAAAATCGTGGGAAAAGATCACCACCGCGACCAGTAGTAGCAATCAATTTGACAACCAATGAGCATCATTATTTCCCCAGTATGACACGCGCCGGTAAGGAACTTGGTATTTATTCAGTGAGGATACAATCAGTTTGTGAAAAAATATGCCAAAGTACTCGGTCTAATTATGACGATTACTGGTATCGGTTCGAGTAACTTGATTGAGAAATAAATAAATGAAATATTATCTAAACTATGTTTGCTATAGGAGTACAGGTAGCAGTTGAGGGGAAAGGGTGGATGGTTCTCGCGATAGATAACTATGATTATGGCATATTTTGAACGTAAGGGTTGCGTACAGCGAAACCTCGATTTAAACTGTGTATCATAATGAAAAGGTTTGAAGGCTAGTGATCAGCGTGATATCGTATGGTTCGTCTCAAGTGCTTGTTATTTGAGGAGACACTGGCCAGAGTGCTTCGGGAGTGTAAAGAGAACTTTTTGTTTTACTGGCGCAATAGATGTTCTACTAGGCGCAGCTGTTCGAAGGCCGATCAGCACTTAACCCGGGTTTCTTTTCCTTTTGTTAAAAAACATTTCTGTGGATAATTTTCTCAGTTATTTTTAAGAGCGTCCAATCACAAACTTGCTTCCAAAATGAAGCCGCGTCGCGAGTTCGATTCTGGCCCGGGGCATGAAAATTTCCTTTGTCCCGGGCGAGCATGGTTTCTCCTCCTTCCAAGTTGAAAAGTTCACTGGAAGTGTATGTTTGCTGTTCATTAGTGTATCATTAAAATTAATAAAAATAAAAATTAAATTAATTTACGCAACCCGCGAGTTCGTGAGAAAAAAACAAAATAGCGGGTGAAAGGTAAGTGAAGCCGACTGATTTTATTTTTCTTTTTATGACCCGAGTTCATTTTTTTTTTTATCCGAGTTGATCCGAGTCCAATTTTATTTTATTTTTATTTTTTTATTCGATCCGAGTCGATCCGAGTTGATCCCACCCGGAGTGGCGGTCCGAGTTGATCCGGTCCGACTTTTGTACCTGCCTAGCTAAAATGTTTGTTGTCCAGTGCTGAAAATATCACACGTCATGATGAAATGGTGCCGCCGAGCTTCACATCTCGGTAGATTTACTTTGTGGCACAACAGACGCTGAGCTTCACAACTCGCCGGTAAATTTACTTTGTGGCTACACAACTCGGTAGATTTACTCTTTGGCACTACGGCCGCCTAGCTACACAGCTCAGTAGATTTACTTTGTGGCACAACAGACACTGAGCTTCACAACTCGCCGGTAAATTTACTTTGTGGCACAACGGACGCCGAGCTAAACAACCCGGTTTGATGCATGCACCAGGAGTAGCACGCATTTTCCAAAGAAAAATATGAAGGCTTAATCCAAAGTAAAATTTTACTCAGGGTCTAAACTTTCAGCACACTTTTGAAAGATGTACGCTTTGGAAGATTCATTAAATACAGATCGATAGTAGACCTTCAGCAAACTCTTAAATATTTACGCTTTACGAAAATTCAGCACACTTTTAAAAGATGAACGATTTACGAAGACAGAATAGCAGACCTCAGCAAACGTTTGAAAGACACGAATCACCAAGTGAGTTAGCGCGTCAAAGTGAGGCAAAACGTAAGCAAGCGCCTCAAAGCGAGGCAAATGTGTGTCGACGACGACGACGAATGTAATCTCGAAAAAACCTCCCTTATTAATTGCACAGGACACCCAATAATGCACATAACACCCAACACAAATTAGGGGTTGCGTTCAAGGTACGAGAACGCAACTATTAATAAGGGAGCTATTGGGGGTACACCTCAGTAGCCCTCATGGGGATCAATAAGAATAAAAGCAGTATGGCGAACTATAACGCTAAGTCACATGGCGGTTTGTCCGCTGAGCCAAAAGCTGTATTGTCAGCGCGCTATAATCCAAAATCGTTGACTGAATTGTCGGCAAATAAATTAGAACAAATGATAAAACCGAAATCAGTTAAACCAAAATCATTAGTCCAATTGGCAGCTGAAAAGATCGAACAATCAATCAAACAACCAAATTACCAAAACCCAGTAAGCTAATGCCAACATTAAAAACCTTAGCAGCACAATCTTTGGTTAAGGATATAATCAATTACTGGGAAAATAAAGCAAACAATGATGCTTCTATTATAACGTTAGACAAAAACCAATTAGTATTGCTGATATGAGAGAAGATAAATTAGCAAAAAGTGGTACACTACGAAATACTCGCAATAGTACTTTCCAGAATTTGTTTGAAGATCGGCTAAACCGGATGAGCGGCAAACGGGATATAGTACAAGTTACTATTGATGCTGATGATGCAGGGGCACCCAACGAGAATATAGTTCAAAACCACTTAAACATAATATTTTTAAACGTATTTTAGTATTTAAACGGTAGATATAGACATATTTTTATTCCCTAAAAATTTTTTATCTGTTCGGATTTCCTGGCAGAAAGGCTAATGATCCGAAAATTATAGGGATTAAAACTTACCTTTTCGAAAATTTCAGCCAGAAAAAAGGCTCCCAAAAATTCTAGGTGACATTTTTAGGGTAAAAATCCATTCAAAATGGGCAATTATACAATTATTTAGACGTTCGAAAATCCTAAGAGAGGCAGGCAAACAAAAAAATTTTACAACAAATGTTCCGAAATTTCTAGATCTCAAATCGTCTTCCGAAGAGATATTTTCCGAAAATAGACGTTGGGTGCCCCTAATGATGTTGAGAACTGGAATGGGAAAACTAGAATGATAACACCGAAGACTTTTGGCCCATTCTCAATGGAAATGCCCCAAATGAGTAATGATGATTTATACAAATTTATGGTTTTCACACTGCTCCAACATGATTTTAGTGTTTTGTCAACCCAGACAATTGCTAACATCGGTGCTAACATATTAACACACAAACCATTAGAGTTCAAAAACATGAAAGTTGGCGCATTAAAGCACAACTCATTTTTCCTTGATAAGCAGTTTCCAATAAAGCAGCGCGGTGATAACACTTGTATGATTGATTTCATCTGGCACCAGTGTCAGAATAAGAACGGTTTCAAGTTTACACTTACCAAAAATTGAAGGACGAGTTGTCCGAATTTGCAACCAGTTTTCCTTTTATGAGCACACAGGAAGTAGTTGATTGGGCAAGAGAGTGTCATCCTAATAATGTGTCAATTCACGCTTACGATTCAACTTACAAGAAATTTATGAAGCATATTACATCAACGCCCAGGCACGATATCTCACTTGTATTTTTCATTAAGGATAATCATTGTTACCCAATTACAGATGAGCGCCTTAAGATACTGGCCACTAAAGCAAATCAGGGCGGTGTTGACAATTTGTGGAAGTTTATGGGGGAGATGAAATGGTCACGCCGTCATGAGCAATTTGTGGTTATAAATGATATGGAGGAGCAGGAACAATTGGATGTTAGTAATAAAATAATTGTATTGCCAGAAGATGAGAAAATTGAACTGGTCATTGACCGGTACATTTATCGTACTAACTATTTTGTGGAATATTTGCACTTTAATAATAATGGTAGACTTGATGGTTTTATTGATCACAAATCCAATATGGTTATACTAAATGGCCAGTATGAAACAAGAAAACAGATTTGTGATAGTCTATTCGGTAATTTCAAAACAGCAGATTTTGTTTGGTCTAATCAGAGTTATACTAATATGGCAGTCAGTTTGTTCAAACAAATGTGCGGTTATTTACCAGAAAGTAATTATGATACTAAAACGCAACAAGTACTTGGTGATTTTTACCCAAAAGCGTTACAATGGTGTTCCACTGACGATCAACCAGATAATTTGGTCTCACTTGATTTATCAAAATGCTACCCATCAATCCTGATCAACAGTACAGACCCAATCCCGCTTTACACAATTCACGATATCATTGAACCATTTACACACAAACACCAACTTGATTATTATGGGGAATTTTATATTGATGAGTTTATAATCAACCAGTTTGGTGCTGATATTAAGATTGAAGCTGGGTTTTACGGTCGGCAGCTTGTTAAACACTTGGTCAATAATGCTCATATGCCCTATAATAATATAACTGAAGTGGTTCATTAGAGCGCGACAAAAAATAAAACCCGACACATTCACTAAATTCCTGAATTACATATTTGATACTTTTCCGGAAGCACAAGCAAAACTTCTTGCTAATGGATTTATCGGGGATTTAGGCAGGAAATACAACAAAACTGATCACGGGTTCACTTGTAGATCCATGAACACCGCTCAAGCAATTTGGACATCCGGATTAGCATCAGGAAAGAAGATTAGCATTGACAGTTACAGAAATAGCTGTACAGATCAAGAATTGTTTTTGGTTAGAGAGGGACAAACAGATAGTACTTCAATTAACAGATTTGTTGTGTCACAAGCAATGCAAACCCATTGAAGAGAGAAGCGATGCGTGGCGTAGAAGTAATGTTTAAATGCGCTTTCACGTAGATGCTTTGTTACGAAGTACATCAACTCTTGAAAAGCTTAGTCCCCAGCTGCATCGGAAAAATTAAAAAACATTTTTCTTCGACGCTACTGACGATTTGGGTTGGAAATTTACGACGCTATCACTTAATTAACGCCCTCTCAAAATCGAGTTATAAGGAAACGCCCACCGATGCACCCGCGATCCATCCGTTAACTAGTTTATGCGTTAGTACTTACCAATTAACGATGGTGACTCAGATTTTCATGAAATCCTCCAAGACTGCGTTTCTTCGCTCTATAAACTTAACCAACTTGCTATTTACTCAGTCAATACCACAAAACACGACCACGTTACGATCCAGTGACCATAAACTGAATTTGCATGTTTTGGCACAACTTTAGAACTTGTCTGCCAGCGTCGTCACAGTGTTTGCCGACAGGTTGCAATATTACCGTGCCTGAATTTGATTTATGATAATTGGACTGATGAGTCGCAACTTTACTCGATCAATACAGATGGTGTGTTTATCGCGGATTGACGAGAGACTGCGTGATAAATGTTTCACTTTTGATTCGTATTTCAACAGCTACCATAACCGCGACATTTCTCATTTGAAGGATAAAACAATCTTTATTGAGGAGCATTCTGTGACCCCGAATATTAAAGTGGATGAGCATGATCTATCAAGCATTCATAAATATCACAATACCGTATTCATGTTCGGTGATACTAATCAATGTGACCCTGTTGAAAAGGGCCGCCAGATACATTACGATTTTGATTCAGTAGCCATTTCTGAAATGTGCCTTAGAAGAGTCCAAATGAAGTGCAAAGAAGGGTGTTCGCGTTACGATATCAAAACAAAAAAACATGTTAACGAAGTTTCTTGAAACAGGAAAAGTAACAGCTAAATTTGCAGAAAGAGAACCCCTCTACAAAAACATTTGTTATTTAAACTCTACCCGACAAAAGGTTACACGGGAGTGTTGCGATCGGTTTACAGAGGGCAAACAGAGTTACGAAGTTGAGTTCATTTATGATGGAAACAAAGAAGTTTATCAAGTTTGTGCTGGAGTGCCCGTGTTAGCCACTACTAATCTGAAATCGGAAGAAATTTACAACATGATGGAATTCAGTGTGGAACAAATGAATGATCAAAATGTTACAATTAATGGAACAGTTTTTCCTATCAGCAAATTTGTTCAGTCATTCATTCCTGCATTTTGTTGTACTGTTTAAGCAATAGAAAACGTTTTCCGTGTTTGCATAGCCTGATATAAACACGAGAGGGGTTGGGAGAATTCGAGACAGTTATGCAAACCCGAGACGCTTTTAATATCATTAATAAAAACAAATTGAATTGAAATCATAAAAAGAATATATGGGAAATTTGTGATGAATAATTCGTCTACCTTTTCAATAGAAAAAGTAACAATTGTACAGTATAGCCATGATGATAAGGACTACCTTGAATAACGGCGTTTAAGTTTTATAATAAGCTTATAATGAGTGAAGTGTAAAACACTTCTTGCGTTGTTAAGGAAAAATAGATTAGATTTATAACACACTGAGTATATGGAAAGTCACCATCAAAAAGACTTTTGTAGTGAAATCAATCTGAAACTGCAATAAGCTTAAAAGTCTCTTGGTCTTTACTAACAACACCACAAACCAAATTCGAATGAAGATTTATTGGAGCTGACGTGCTCGGTACTAAGAGTGTGCATACAAACAGCGTGGGTTGAAACTAAAACGGTAAAAGAGCAAAAAAGTTACAAGTTGCGACTAAGGTAATTTAGAGTAAGGAAATAACAAAACTGCAAAACGAGGACTGTGAAGTACACTTACATTGTTTCGGCCAGAGAAAACTGCTGTGAAGCGGACTGCGAATAACGCGAACAGACTTGCAAGAAACTAAACAGAACTGCGCTAAGCGCGGACCAAAATGAACTGCACAAACTGTACTGCAAAACTACGATATGAAAAATACGCTAGAACATGCGGAAAATAAAACTATAGAAACTTAGAAAGGAGCTAATGAAGATGAAACAGCAAAGAAACGCTAACAAGGGCGCGAAAACTGACAGAAAGGAATAAACACCTAAATTAACGCAAAAAAAAGACTAAACAAAAGGACGAAAAGAAGTATAAACTAATTTGCGTACGCAAAGGAAAAACAAATTACGCAAGAACGAATAATAGAAAAAATGTTACAATTGGATCTTACACAATCTTTAATACAGATACATGAAATATTACCAGTAACATTCCTTTTTTATGTTCTTCACAGAATCCCAATACATGTGTACAATGAATCGTGACTTGTTAATCTTGAGTGAACAATACATCAATATTACTAGCTTGATAGGAAACGGAAAAATGATCCTTATTGTGTAAGCAAGCAAGCAAAAATGTGCATTGTGTGAAGCAAATAGTTAGATGTGTTATCCGATCGGAATAGCGTAAAAGCTACACCATTTTTCAAACATAGCTGCTCAGGATTTACGTAAGTAATGTAGGTGTAATAGTGTTTTAAGCTTTCGATTGAATTAGGGTGTTTACTAGAAAGGAAACCACATGCATTCCCTACTATATTTTCCCACGTATGATTTAACTACCAATATGTATAAAAGTACCTTGATTTAGCAATAAACGATGAATGTGATCAGGACTTGAGTGTGTGCAAGTTTTATAATAAGCTTATTATCAGTGAAGTGTAAAACACTTCTTGTGTTGTTTAAAGGAAAAATAGATTAGATTTATGACACACTGAGTATATGCCACGAAATCAATTCCCATATACAACACATGAATTGTATTGTTGTGCTTTTTACGTACTTTTTCTTCAGTTAGCTGATTTATAGTGTGCATATATGTAATACTTTCTTAATAAGTGTATGAGATGAGTTTTGTTTATAGAGATGCAGGACCAGGAAGGTCTCTACTCTAACGTTTATCTTTTAAAAATACACATTGCATTATCCCCACCATCGTCCGATTCCTCCATCATTTTAAAGCCCCCTGCCTTTCCAACCCCCAAAATTATTTAAGGATTTCCCCTTTTTTCTTTACCCTTCTCATAGCTGAAATATTTAATCTGTGCGCAGCCACAGGCGCAACGTTCATGAAAATCATACATCTTTTATCTATCACATGTAAAAAGAACATGCCACAAGTTTTTTTCGACAGTGTCAAAGATAACCAATTCATTTGCCTTGGCCTTATGTGCAGTCATAAGAGACAAAAGTCCCAACACTCTGTTACAGTATTTTAAGACCATTTTGGCCAGCCAGGAAACTATTGTGTTTATCTGATCAGGTGGGACACAACTGATTACAGCACCATCATTGCCATGTGCGTGAGAGTCAATAATAGCGCATTCTCCAGTTTCCCAGAGAAGCACTGCAACAGTCATGTCGTTGTTAATCAGAACAGCTGTCTGATTCTTCCTAAGAGAAGCTCTGTCTTCCAAAGTGGCCACCAAGGGTGATAAGTCTCCCAACCGCAAGTCATATCCAATGGATTCTGAGATATGAGATATGAGGATCATCTCCACAGCACTCAACTGCATCGTCTACATCCAGGTTTATCGGTTGTCCATCAAAGAGCACATCATGGATTACATTACACTGAAACGTTCCAGAAGTGACAGCTTCAAATCACAAACTCGGTAAGGTACCTCTTGTTAATTGTGGTAAGCTTGATGTGACAAAACGATAACCCACAAGTAGAGCAATCAGTGTGCAGGCGTTGCTGCCTTGTCATCCACCAATTAAAGACTGGCAGAGGTTGTAAGAGAAACGAAATTCTTTAACCCTGTCAGGGTGTCCAGCAGCATGGTTGCTCAAAAAAATAGGAAAATAGGAAACTCAGGACTGAGAAAATAGGAAAAATAGGAAACTTTGCATAAAAAAATAGGAGAAAAATAGGAAAATCAATAGTACTTCTGTCGACAAAGATAGCCTCCTGGCACCTCGTCAGGGTTATGATAAAGGCTACGAGTCCTCCGCATCTACGTTTGCAGGATTTAGATCAACTTTCAGGGCTAAAAGGAGTGAAAATGATCAGTAACGTTTACTTTATTGGTTCAGTTACCCTGTAGTCAGAATGATATACTTAACTACAGGTCGAGCGTGGTTCTATAATTATTAATCAAAGGTGATTATATGCAAATTCCCTTCAAGTTGGCGGCCAATCTTTGAAAAGCTAATTCATAGAGTGAAATTTCTTAGGATAGAAATTTCTTACGATTGCGTTGTCATTGAAGGATATCGAACTAAGACTAAAACGTCCTATGGAAAGCTTTCTTTTGATTAATCCGCAATAAGTAGCTGGTTGAGAATATGCTTGTTTGAATCGAAAGAGCACATAGTTTTAAGTACGAAACCAGGCTTTCCGCGGTGAATGCAAAATGACACTGATCTATTTGGTACCAGATTGTAAGTGTGTCATGGTTAAGTTCTAAAAAGGACGAACTCTCTGCTTAGCTATGGATGCAAGACTGGTTTCGGAACCAAAATATTGGATCCATCATCAGTTGCTTAGGTATGGCTGTTAACAAGGGTCACCAAGAGAGGTAGTGCCCTAAACTAAACTTGAGTCTGTTCTTTTCATGTAGCATCCAGAATCCAGCTAGTGATTGGTTTTTTAAACAAGAAGCTGATTGATGACTTATTTGACCTGTGTTATGAGAGGGCAACTTGATCCTGTTTTCAGTCAAAGATGAACATAAAAGCGAGCAAGACTTCAAAATAAAATACAATATGTACAGATACTGACATGCAGTTTCAGTGGGCTATGCACAATATTTTACAATAGCCATGAGAACTATATGACACTACATACAATACATGAGGGTGTACTAAAAAATTATACAAAAAGTAACAATATAACAGAGTTGTCAACAGAACTCTAATAAGCAATAGAGGTCATGGAAAGCACAAATGTAACTATTATTTCTGCTAACAGTAGAACATCAAAGTCAACATACTACTTGCTTTATGATAAATCTCACTCTAAAACACATATACAAATGTAATAATTTATATTCCATTTTCAATTTTGTTACAAGTGTGACTGCGAGATGCGGTTCGCAAGTCCAACCCACAAAAAAATGACCCTTGCTCGCCAACGAGTCCTCAGTAGCTCAGAGGTCAGAGCATCCGATCTAGAACACGAAGGGTCGTGGGTTCGAATCCCATCTGGGGCTCAGATTTTTTCTGTGTCCTCTTATGGTTGATTCTTTACATCTCCCTTTATTTTCCTTTATAATATTAATATCAGTGGTATAGGTTGGTTGGTTGGAGGCTCCTTCATGAGTGAGACATTTCTTACTATTAATGTGACTGTGTGATACAGATAAGCCTTAATGTGTTGCTTGTGATGGACTGTGTGACTGCGAGATGCGGTTCGCAAGTCCACCCCACAAAAAAAATGACCTTTGCTCGCCAACGAGTCCTCAGTAGCTCAGAGGTCAGAGCATCCGATCTAGAACACGAAGGGTCGTGGGTTAGAATCCCATCTGGGGCTCAGATTTTTTCTGTGTCCTCTTATTGTTAATTCTTTACATCTCCCTTTATTTTCCTTTATAATATTAATATCAGTGGTATAAAATAGGAACAGGCTCAAAAAATAGGAAAAAATAGGAACTGGACACCCTGCCCTGTCCAAACCAAATGGGTCAAACACAACTCGCACAGAATATGCCACTCTTGATCCAGCAGATGTCTCACTCTGCTGCAGATTGCCAGAAACAAGTATTCTGTCATCACGGTATCCCCTCTCAGAGTTACTGTTTGATACTACTTCTTTACCAGTGATGACCCGTCCTCTAATTGAGCCGCAGTTGTTTGCAGAGAGGTTGCCTGCGGCACAGAACTTGAATAAACTGAGCATGGACTCAATGCCACTGTCATTGATCCTCAGAGGGGCTATAAAATACCCAGGATATCTTTCCACAAATCAGGTGCAAAATTGTGTGAAACCATACACCATAATTCTCATTAAATCCCAGGTCTGCAATATAAAGAAGCGTAACAACTTAATCAATTATTATGCATGATAATAAATTTTGTCTGCAATCAGGCCCATAGGGAGGGGGTGCAATGGGTGGGCTTGCCCCCCTCCCAGGCTCTGGAGATCCACTTTTTTGTTGATCAACGAATAATTTAAAACAAGTTGAATTAGCCCCTTCAAATTGCTCGAAATGCAGTCTCAGGCAACCATTCCCCCCACCCATAACCTCCGACCTCATAAAAAATCCTGGCTACGGGCCTAGTATTATCTTAACAGCTACCTTAACCTAAAAAACCTTCTCACTATAAATTCTGAAACATGTTATGCACATGAGCTATGCACAACTCGTTGTTGTGCTGAGTATGCTGAGTATTACAAGTTCAACTGAGAATGCTACTTTACTTCAAATTTGGGGGTGATTTTGCCTAAAATTGATTTGCATGCATTTTTTTGTGGTTCAATTATTTTATCATTTTCAACCCTAAATACATAATTTATGCGAGATTAGATAACTTATACCTACCATGCCAAAAACTTTTTCTGTCTTTCTTTGTTGCTGATGTTCTGGTAAACTGAGGTAAAGAAATGTATTATGTATTTATTAAAATGAGACATTCAAAGAAGCGAACACTATCAATGCCAGCCTGTGAATCTCTGGTTAACTGCTGTTACAAGATATAGACAATCATGCAGTTCAATATTAATAATAATATTACATGCAGTCAGAGTCAAGTTAAAGAGGAAGGCCGTTCATTTCCAGAGCTGTCACTAAGATGTGATAAGAGGGCAGGGAATTGAGCAGCCAGAGAATTTTCTTCTCTTTGAAAATAACGGGGGTCAGGTTAATAGTAGCAAAATATGGAAAATAATTTCTCATGTTTATTTGTTACTGCAAAAAATGTGGGAACTTAACTAACATACAGTAAGTCTTGCAAGCTTAAGGATAAGCCCATGATTGTTGGGTAGGAGGATCAAATTTTTTGATTTTACATACACTCTGTATGTATAAGTTAAATTCTAAATCATTCTCAATAGACGCTGCATTAAGGTAATTATTCACAACTTACAGTCTTATCAAGTTCGGTTTTCATAAAGTACAAAATTTGTAATTATGATCCAGTCATGAATGATGAGTGTAATAAAACAAGCGAGTTCTCATTGTCAGCACTTCAAACTGCAGACTGAATGTCAAGATACTGACTAAAAAACACTGGGATCATAAAGCAATACACTTACCTGTTCTTTGATGGCTTAATGACCAATCCGTAAAGAATGAAAATCCCTTTTTGATATTTTCAAGTACTTGTTGGTAATCTCCTTCTGAAAAATCAGGTGGCATGCTTGCAAATAGTTTGCAGTCATTTCTACCAATGCTGCATCTGCTGGTTGTGGTGCTTTTCTTGTATGCTCTTGGAGAGCGCTTATCATGTATCGTTGCTGTTGAAATACATGCAAGATAACATAATTAGTTATATGTTGTCTATGTTGGCCTGAAATCAAGTGACAAATATTGCTCTCATTAATCATTGAATAGAGTTTCCTTAAAATTATTATCATATTATATTTATGTTCATTTGACATGTAACAAACAAATTATCATGTTTTATGTCCTTCCCCTTTTGAGTATTATGTATGTGCCACAATAAAACCTTCCTCTATGCTTCTTATCTAAAATTATAACCTCCAGCAATCAACCCTCTAACACTAGAACACTATTAGTCAATGGGATTATTTGTGTCCTTACTTGTATGATTTTTGCAGGGAGAACATTCAGACGAGTCCAATTTTTCCCCGTGGACAAAGTTTTACTTTAAACCAGGCACCCTTCTAGATAGGTTCTGTTGAGCTCTTTCCTGATCTCGCTCATACTGATCTATTATAGGCACCACCAGGCCTTGAGCTATATGGGGCTGCAATAGTGTTCTTGAGCTGTTCAAACATAGAAAAACAGTTGTCATAAAAATCAATTCATTAGTTATAAGCATACTGAACCATAAAATAATGGAGAAGCCAAAATCTACTAAACTATGTGTAAAATGGAAGACAAAAAAGTGTGAACAGAAGCTAGCAGTTATAGTAGAAGAAGGATTATCATTAGAGAAAGTGTCCATCAGGGCAATTATGAAGGATTAATAGTATTCAATCCCTTAGTACAGAGTTTTAGCAGATTAAACAGGTTAACTGGAGTTAAAGTAATTGAGATAATTAATCAGTGGGAGTTGCTAATCCCATTTTGAGAATTTTTTTTTCGTACCAAAGCAGACCATGGCAGGCTAGTAAAAAATTAATGTATTAATGAAATTTGGGGCCGTTTTAAATAAGCTATTGATATTATTGACTCATGCAATTTCTTGAGTTTCAGATAACCTGGTGAGATGGGCAAACAACAACAAATACTCTCTTGTCCCTTGGTTGATCTTCATACGGGTTTTGAAAAGACGCTGTCACAGCAAAAGGATCCTCTCCATCACACAGGGGAAGCTGTTCCCGTTTGTATCCACAGAGCAACTTAATCAACACCAGGTTGGCTGATGCCCCATCACATACAAACACTTGGACCTTGAAATTATACAGGGTAAAGACCTGAAGAGTCCGGAAAACACACTCTAGAAGAAATTGATGATCCCAAGAACCTGCAATGAAATAATCAAAATTTAACATACATGTAATTGGCTAACGTAAGAAATATATTTTTCAAATAAATTTCCTTAAAAAACCTGCAATAGAATCTAACTTAATATTATTGCATAATATGTTAGGTGAGTAATCAATAATATTATTTAGATTGAGTGGAGCCCTCCTCCTTGAATTAATTTGTTAAAAACGGCCAAAATCAAAACTATTTTTATTTAGAAACAACTTGTCCCTACTGTCCACCCCCTTACTAGGAGGTTTAGGCTCAGCTCTGATCAGTGATCTGTAACTGCTAAATGTACCTATGTATTTTATTTTCTGCTTCTTGAGCACTCATGAAAAAATTCAAAGGGATGCTGTATCCCCACTGATCAATGNGTAAGAAATATATTTTTCAAATAAATTTCCTTAAAAAACCTGCAATAGAATCTAACTTAATATTATTGCATAATATGTTAGGTGAGTAATCAATAATATTATTTAGATTGAGTGGAGCCCTCCTCCTTGAATTAATTTGTTAAAAACGGCCAAAATCAAAACTATTTTTATTTAGAAACAACTTGTCCCTACTGTCCACCCCCTTACTAGGAGGTTTAGGCTCAGCTCTGATCAGTGATCTGTAACTGCTAAATGTACCTATGTATTTTATTTTCTGCTTCTTGAGCACTCATGAAAAAATTCAAAGGGATGCTGTATCCCCACTGATCAATGGGAACACAGTATCCCATTGAATTTTTCCTCAAAGACACGATACACCTCTGTGTTTTTTCCTTTACGGATCTTCCATTTCTTTTATTTGCTAGAGTTTATAGTAAAACAGTTTCTATTGTGGCGTTTTCAAATTGTGACAGTTTAAACTGTTGGGTGTACATAGGAAAATATTATTCTGCTTGATCAATTAATGCAAGTTGGTTAGCTAAATTACATGTACTTTGTTTCAGCCACTCTAGAACTTTCAAAAATCCTGAATTTTCCCTTGTGCTACTGTAGCACACAGTATACCATAAACTACCCCTTATGAGCTCCCCCTACCCCCTGTTATAGGTCTATCTACCTGTAGACAAAAAAGCATATCCGATCATATGCCCCCCTTAAAAATGTATTGATTAGAATGAATTCAATGTATTATAACACTTTGACAGTTAATTAAAAACCAGTAAATGCTAAAAGTATTTTGATCAGCACTGCTTATACAGCTTGTTTCGAAGCGCTTTATTTATCAAGTTATGAGCCCTTTCGGACGTAAGCCTCACCATATATAAGCCCTCCTAAAACTTATAAAGATGCAATAAGCTCAGGGCTGTTATAAGAGGCAGTTTACCATACTTAATAGTATACTTTATTATATGAAAGAAGATAAACACAATTATAGACGCAACTTTTGCAGTTGTGAAAAGAAAGCCTGAAAAAATTCAGGTTTGTACGGGATTCGAACCCTTGACCTCTGTGATACCGGTGCGGCGCTCTAACCAATTGAGCTAACAAGCTAACTCTGAGCAGGTCGTTGAACTGGTTTGTTATAAACCCGTGAAAGGATGATGATGAAGTTATGAATATATGAAAATCATATATGTGAACTGCGGAGTGAAGAATTATATCAAAGAAGATCACTGCAGTTATAGACACAACTTTTGCAGTGGTGAAAAGAAAGTAAGGTTGTTTAAGTAAGATTGTTGACCCAATGTACAGTTTACCTTGCTGTGTATCATTCATTTACTACTTGGAACTGAAGTTTGTAAGTATTCTAAATCATTCATTGAGCAACAACACAAACTTTTTATTAGTTTTTGCAACTTATAAACTACTGTAGGATAGAATACAAGAGAGGGATAACTTTGTATTCCCTGCCGCCGACACAAGTTCCATTCTTCTTGGCAATTAACAGCACCAAATCTAATCACTCCCTCAAGCTCCTTAGTAACTTCTCTCCACTGACCGGTATTAATAAATAAAAACAACAAAGGGTTAGCTTCACTGTTTTTATATTTTTTACTTTAATTGGTAAAAGCAACTACTGTACTGTCATGTATTCTACTCAGTATAAAGCAAGATCAATAAGCCCACAGATAATTACTAATTAATAGTAAAATAAACTTTAGTTTTAAAGGTAAAATTAACACTGCTATCAACAAAAAGGAATAAAAACGTTCCTAAACAATAGTGATCCCATATAAACTGCAGATTCAAATGTACTGTCTACCAGGTCAAGTTTGTCAAAAAAGGCAGGGGGGGGGGGCATTTAACAGAGAAAAAATACAGGGTACAAAAATAAAGGGGAATAATAAAAGCGTCTGAAAGATACCATTATTATTTTTTGACCTTATTTTAACTATTATCAGATGGGAAAACCTGACCAAAACCTAAAGTAAGGAACACCTATTTCAAGAAAATGTATCACTTTGCTTTTCTTACCGTTGGTGCTAAATCATGACAGTGGGAACAAAACGGGGAATAAAAGTTGATAAACCAAATATCTTCACTTCCTTCAACTGACACTTCTGTTAAACAAACAGTACAAAATATTTCCTAATAATCAAAATGCATTATGTATTACATTTAATTATCATTATTATCATTGATAATTATACAAAGAAAAAATGTAAATAATATAATTAATTTATATATTATTATTATAATTATTATTATTAATGTCAAGGGAGCAAGTCATATTAAATGAGCAAAGGTCTGTTAGGGACACTCTACTGGTACTAAGAAGTCAATATAACTACTACGTCAACCAATCAGATCTCCTGACCAGATTCCGGACAGATTTTACATCATCAGTATGGAATTTCTATTGAAGAGTCACAGACGTCTGGCGAAACGTCCTTACTGGCGAGGAACAAGAAGAAACGGGAGGAGCATGGGCTTATTTCCCAAATAGCAGTTGGAAATCTAGCCTGGGCTAGCAATGACAAAAAATTATACCAGAATAAATTATAATTAACATCACTTCGGCTTGTTGCAAGGATTAGCAACATTTTAAGTTTCCCCATGTGTTTCTGAGGTAAAACAGTCAAGAAAGAGGAAGGTAAATTTTAAAATAATTCATGCACTAATAGAAAAAACCTCGGATGAAACTTTTCAGACAGGTCCACCTCTATTTTAGGTAAGCATGATGCTAAAATTTCACAGAAACAGGACAAACTTATCCTGGTCCTCACCACCATTCAATGTTATTTTGGTTGACTAAAAACAAAGACATATCATTCAAAAGAAGATTGGGAGAGAGAATGATTAGATTCATTTAGAAATACTTTCTATTTTTGCATGGATGATAGGAAAAACCATAGAGGATTTTTCCAGTTTATCTCAACTAGTTTTGTGAGAGGTAATCTACAGTATAAATGTATTATTAACACACCCACCAAAATCTGAGTAGCTTTGTTATAATCTCTGGGTCATCATCATAAATTCCTGTGATAAGATTAATATCAGTAGTTAGAAAATAATTTGATTTTACCATACTACATATACACAGTTGTATATAAAACCATCCACCGTATTGTCGACCAAACACTAAGAAGTTCTCACCTTTTTTTCAAGAACCTTAGTTTTTTAACTCACTATGACAATGAGGTCAACAAAACTCTCAATCCCTTTTCTCCTTTATGAAAATACAGAAGATTAAATTATTAAATAAATATGAATTTCTGATCTTAATTTCCAGTTTCAACTTAACGCCACCTTTTCTTCAGTTGATGGAAACAGCTCTAGCCTATAGTTCGAGGAGGCCTAACCTCTCATAAGCTCCTATAGTTTCTGTTAGGTCTCCTCACCACTTCGTTTTTCTACTTATCCTATATTATTAGTAAATCATTATTGTCTGGCAAATAAAGTAAAAATAAATAAATAAAAAAGAGTTGGTACTAGATATGAGCAATTTATAAAATAAATAAAAGGTCTCATTTCCTGTGTGATCTGGTGATGATTGGTCGTACAACATCTAATTCTTACTACTTTAAGTTCCAAGAGAAAAAGAAAAAAATGATAATGCAAAATTTAGGGGGCAAAGTGTATTATGAAAATGTTAAAGTAGAAATTAATATGATAAGTAAAGAAAAATGAATAAGAAAAAAAATGGGAAGTGATGAGATCAACATGTCAAATCAATAAAAAGTTCATCATCGATTTCTATCACAAAAACATCGATATTAATCGAAGTCACAACTTTTTTTCTTCATCGATTTCTGTCAATCAATATTGGAAAATGATAATCATCGATGATTGATATCGATTACTATCGATTTTTATCGATAATAAGTTTATCGATTAACTAAGTCTGGATTAATACTACCCGTCTGGCTTACCCTGTTAATGTAGTCTAGTTAATTTGGTTTAAAGTGAGAGCTACGCTGTTTCAAATAATTTCCTGAGGGGAAAACATTGTCTTCAAAAGTAGTAAGGTCATGTTTTCCCAGCTGCTGAATAAGTTCAATAAAATTTTGGAAAGGTATAATCATTGCATTTGGAAGCAATATTAATTATTTCAGACTATAGAGCTCTATTCTATGCATGTTGTATTACGATATGACAATGTTATGTATCGGTCAAATCGAAGCTTCAACATGCCCCCCCCAAGCAACCCCCCGGGCATTAGACTTTTTTGAAAATTATTGTTCAAATTCCCCCCTACCCGGGCCAAAATGCCGTTCAAATGCCCCACACAAGGGTCCATTCAGGTGATCAAATGCCCCCACCCCGGGGACATTTCACAGGCACAAAATTAAAATGACAGAAGGATGGTGGAAACACCTTCAGTTGTCGAACAAAATTTTTATAAATATAACAAAAACTGAGAAACACTGTTAGCGCATTTACTCTGAACAAAAGTACCGTGCAAAGCGGCGGAAATCGCTACCACAAGGTCACTGAATGCTCAGCTTTTCTTCATCATGCAACATACAAAGCGTTCTACAAAAAAAGATCCCACCTATTGAGATAACTACATCATGACCATTTCACTGACATGCATCATTACTCACCTTATTAATTAACATACTTGCAATAGCCTCTAACACCGCGTC